ATTTAAGACCACACACTTACAGTCACCTGAGTTTTGACAGAGTCCAAAAGCACACACAGGAGGAAAGACAGGTTCTTCAACAAATGTTGCTCATCAAACTGGACAGCTACATGTAGAAGAATGAAACTAGATCCCTACATCTCACTTTGCACAAAACTCAACTCCAAATGGATTTAGGACCTCAACATAAGACCTGGTACCTTGAATCTTATAGCTGAGAATGGGGGGAATACATTAGAACTTATAGGCACAGGAAAGGACTTTATGAATGGGACTCCAATAATGCAGGCATTAAGTCCGACAACTAACAATGGCATTTCCTGAAACTAAAAAGCTCTGTACAGCAAAGAACACCATGATTGAAGTGAAAAGGCAGCCTGCAGAATGGAATAAAATCTTTATCAGGGCTGGGCATGGCGATGCACCCCTTTAATCCCAGCACTTGGGAGGCAGGAGGATCTCTGTGAGTTCGAGACTAGTCTGGTGTACATAGGGAGTTCTAGGCCAGCTGGGGTCTACAGGGAGACCCTGTGTCAAAAAGATCAAACAGATCAAAAAAATCTTTATCAGCTGTAAATATGACATGGATAATATTTAGAATATACAAAGAACAAAAAAATCTAGGCATCAATCAAACAACCAATTCAATTACAATGGGGCATGGAAGTAAACGGAGTTGTAAATATGATGCAGAAATGGCTGAGAAACTTAAAAACGCTCACCACTCCTAGCCATCAATGAAATGCAAATTAAAACTACTTTGAGATTTCATCCTACCTCAGTCAGAAACGCTAAGATAAAACCCCACAAATGACAACAAATGCTGGCATGGATGTGGGGAAATAGGAACACATGTTCACCACCAGCGGTTGTACTAACTGGTACAACCATTGTAGAAATCAGTGTGTTTCCTCAAAAAGCTAGAAATAGATCTACCACAGATCCAACCATACCACTCTTGGACATATATCCAAAATAGCAGATCCTACTACAGAACTGTCTGCCCATCCATCTTAGTTGCTACTCTATCCACAAACCAGGAAGGGGAAACAACCTAGGTGTCCATCAACTGATGAATGGATAATTAAAATGTGGTATTTTTATACAATGGGATCAAGAAATAGGAGGGCCCTGGATCCTATAAATGTCTGAGCCTAGGGTGTATCCCAGCTCTGGGGGCCGCCCATCCTGACGGCAGCTGTCTATCTGCTCTAATAGTTTGTCATTTTCACTTTCTTCTCTCTCTCTCTCTCTCTCTCTCTCTCTCTCTCTCTTTTTTTTGT